CTTCACTACATGTAGGGAAAAGAATTAAACACGTCATTTCAAGTAGAATTGTCAAAATGAGTCGCACGGCTCGACCCATCACAAGTTGACCACTTAATGAGTCAACCTAGCTTAATTCACTTGTATCTAGGTTGATGAGTTAAACAGATCGATTCATTAGTTCACATAATTATAAATTTTTTTTCTATCAAAAAATAACAAAAATGTTCTAATTCAAATCTAAATAAAAGGGAAAGATCGTAGATTAGATTGAAATAGTACTTGACAAAATGAATTGAATTGCACATTCACTAAACCAAAACATAAGTCGTCTTAACTGAACTAAAAAGTAGTTCAAACGAACTGAACTGCACTATTTTTTATTCTATCAAATTACAATAATTGAACTATAATATAAATTGAACTACTACTTGTACTAATTTTAACTCAAAGTTTAAGTTTTCCATCACAAATCAAAACAGGACAGATAACGTAAAAAAAATTAAGTGCCCTAATCAAGAAATTCATCATCTGCTAGTGGTTCTACTCAATCCTTTTAAAGTCTTCCTTTTAAGTACATTACACGTAAGTCATACAAACAAGTGAAGAGGTGCGAGTAGATCATATAGCTCATTGCCTAAACGAACGAACAAGCTTAAGTACAGTATTTTAGAAGACAAAATCATTTCAAGATTCAAAAGAAACTAAATATTAGAATTCAAATTACCTTTCAACGTACCAATATTCAAGAAACAAATAAAAGGGTGCTAACACGAACAAGATGGAATACACACACATGCTTTCACTCTAATATAATGATGTAACCATAGTTGACAAGTTAGTAAGATAATCAAATAAAAGTATTACACAGACAACAGAAAACGTCATGAACAAAAAAAAGAAAGAGGAAAAAATATGTGAAAAATAAATCTATGGTTCACACAGTTTTTAACTGAACTGTAAAATAGTTTAATTAGTTTTTAGTCAAAATCCAGTTTAATTATTTTTAAAGTATAATATAATATAGTTAACTGTAGTTTTAGTACAGATTGCTAAATTATGTAGTCCTAGGAGTAGTCCAAAGCAACCCTGACCATGTATACTCTTCTATTAAATAAAAGTTTAAGAAATTTCAAAATAATAAATAAATTAAAACTAAAAAACGACCACCTTTTAAGTAACCTATAAATACGAGACATGTGTGAAAAATTAGCAGGTGTAAAGCATATAGTGTTGGAACCAGCTACAAAATTTTGGCATTTTAGTCCAAAATTAAATCATATTATTAAAATTAATTTTAACTTTAAATACGATAATTCGATATATAAATAAATATGAAATAGCAATACATCAATACATGTAAAGAAAGCTACTTCTTACTTTTAAAAATATAAACCAGAAAAAAAAAACCTGGTAATAAAATAAAAGCTAAAAATTATAGGTAAATTATGTTGCCTGGACAGCCAACTCTATTTTAACATCGCTATAAAATGATCAAATTTCAGGAAACTCTTACGATATATAAGCTATTCGGATAAACCAAGAAGTATACAAAATCAGTACATAATTAGATACGATAAAACACTTATCATAACAACTTAACCCACTCAATAGTCTTAATGCAGTAATGCTAACTGAGTCGTGAGATATGCCTCCCCTCCCAGCTAGACCTCAAGATCATTCGAGCCATAAAAACCCAAAATGCCATGAACTAGGTATAGGAAGGAAAGCTCATCTGACTCCTGCTCAAGCACCTACTTAGATCTCTGTCTCATCTTTCGGCGCTTCCTCTTCAACCTCCTCATACGCTTCTTCTTCCACTGATACATAGCAACATTATGTTAGTCTGATACAAATGGGCAAAACAGAAATTTGTTGCAACAGCCATGGTAGGTGAAGTACATATATCTCAAGTGCAGAATGATAGGGAACAATTTTTTACAGTACATATGAAGCAATGTCTATAGGCCTTTACCCAACATAAACGCAGTACCCCCTTCAGGATTTATAACTCCTCTGCAGTCACAGAATCAACTTAAAATAGGTGATGATTTCACACAATTTAGAAGAGCTAAATTCCTTCCTCTATCACTCACAAAAATGACAAATCACTTTTCCGTGAAGTGAAAATGGAGAGTAGGAGACTATTAGTTTTACATGGTTTGGCTTAAAATGTTGTAGATGGAAGAAGAAAAAAAGGGCTAGAATTGGCGGATACTCCCCGCTACCTCCGGCTGGATAAATATCCAGCTCCATACATGTTTCCAAATCCGTGCATGCATCCGCAGATATTTACAAAAAATATTTAACAAGATATTTTAACCTTAAAAATTTTCTTTTTATCATATTTTTTTGACATCCTAGCTAGAATCCCTCCACATCTGTATTTATGGGGAAAAAAAGAAAGATCTACACATTACATGACTGTGTTCACAAAATTTGTTGACAAAACTATCAGTCTCCACTTCGTTAACAGGAATTACTGTATTACAGTATATACTATTATTTCCTTTCCCCTCCCTTTGCTAACTAAAATGATACCTTCTCTAACCCTCCCTTACCCTGCTTTGAAATTTGAAGCAAACATGTAAAACAATCGGGTGCTTTTGACAGCAAATGCATAAAACAAAATTCACTAGTTAATTCAGAGAATGGGATTCAAGAACCATTGCTTAACCTAAATGTGTTCCTCATGAAATTAACACAACTTCATCGGCCTCTTAACGACTCACTACACAAAATTCCTGTTATTTGAGCAATTAGACAAGCATTCCGAGGTTGTAACACAAGGGAACACAGGAAACAATACCCATGTATCGAAAAACACCAAGTCCAATCGAATCAAAATTCAAAACTAATCTAATCAGTTTCAAATGAGATACTTGACGCAATTCACTTTATATCCAACATGGCACTTGCGAAAACCAAAACCAACAAACAATATCCTCTTTTCAATTTCGAAAATCAAGCAGTGCATCGAATTCCTTCAAATCGTATACAACAACAACAAACTGCATATATCATATTAGTCCATTTACAAGGAATACATCAGCAATTTAGAAAGGAAAAAAAGAAAGTCCAAGCAAAATCAATATCGAACAAAAAAACACATCAAACATCAGATAATCGATTGAAACATCCTAATTCCTGTGAACAAAGACAAATTCATGATTATACTCGGATCCTAAAACGCTCAGTGCACGTAAATTATAAATAAAATAACCATTACATAGACATGAATAATGAAAGGAAATGCATTTAACCTTAGCTCTCATCCTGAACAACAGAAACTCTCACGCTTTTCTATCAACAATGTCGATTTTTTCCACAAGATGATCCCTGAATGTAAACCTGTGGCGATAAAAACCCTTGTTTTGGTATTTATAGCGAAAAGCGTGAAACCCTAACTCTCTTTAGGCTAAGGTCGGGTTATGTGAGGGCCTAATTGTAATAATAAAAATATATTCAACAAAGTGAAGAAAAGAAGATATTGGATGAGATGAGTTGAGAATTTCCTCTCTCACTTTTTCCTTATGATAGAAATAACGTTTGGTGAAACCTACGGAAGTTAAAATAGAAAATCCTTTCACGAATAACAAAAAGTAAATAATTGTAACTCGTTTTTACTATCATTGTATTACACAATTCATAAACAGAAAAGGATTACATTAAATGTTAAACAAATAATAAATTAAGAATAAATCATTCTTGGGTCAAATAAAATAAGAAATAACAAAGAATGTCAAGAAGTACGGACAAAGTCGATAAGTATCATTATTGTCGAGAAGTATCAGAGAAGACTGAAAAGTATAATATAGAGAAATGTAGGCAAGATCCATAAATATCAATCTTGCCAAAAAGTGTCATGCAAGATCAAGAAGTACTAGTCTTATTTAAAAGTAAAAAACAAGGACCAAAAGGTCTAGGTAAGGATAAAAACATCTCAATGTAATCATTCAATGCTTACATAACTAATCAAANTTTTCCATCACAAATCAAAACAGGACAGATAACGTAAAAAAAATTAAGTGCCCTAATCAAGAAATTCATCATCTGCTAGTGGTTCTACTCAATCCTTTTAAAGTCTTCCTTTTAAGTACATTACACGTAAGTCATACAAACAAGTGAAGAGGTGCGAGTAGATCATATAGCTCATTGCCTAAACGAACGAACAAGCTTAAGTACAGTATTTTAGAAGACAAAATCATTTCAAGATTCAAAAGAAACTAAATATTAGAATTCAAATTACCTTTCAACGTACCAATATTCAAGAAACAAATAAAAGGGTGCTAACACGAACAAGATGGAATACACACACATGCTTTCACTCTAATATAATGATGTAACCATAGTTGACAAGTTAGTAAGATAATCAAATAAAAGTATTACACAGACAACAGAAAACGTCATGAACAAAAAAAAGAAAGAGGAAAAAATATGTGAAAAATAAATCTATGGTTCACACAGTTTTTAACTGAACTGTAAAATAGTTTAATTAGTTTTTAGTCAAAATCCAGTTTAATTATTTTTAAAGTATAATATAATATAGTTAACTGTAGTTTTAGTACAGATTGCTAAATTATGTAGTCCTAGGAGTAGTCCAAAGCAACCCTGACCATGTATACTCTTCTATTAAATAAAAGTTTAAGAAATTTCAAAATAATAAATAAATTAAAACTAAAAAACGACCACCTTTTAAGTAACCTATAAATACGAGACATGTGTGAAAAATTAGCAGGTGTAAAGCATATAGTGTTGGAACCAGCTACAAAATTTTGGCATTTTAGTCCAAAATTAAATCATATTATTAAAATTAATTTTAACTTTAAATACGATAATTCGATATATAAATAAATATGAAATAGCAATACATCAATACATGTAAAGAAAGCTACTTCTTACTTTTAAAAATATAAACCAGAAAAAAAAAACCTGGTAATAAAATAAAAGCTAAAAATTATAGGTAAATTATGTTGCCTGGACAGCCAACTCTATTTTAACATCGCTATAAAATGATCAAATTTCAGGAAACTCTTACGATATATAAGCTATTCGGATAAACCAAGAAGTATACAAAATCAGTACATAATTAGATACGATAAAACACTTATCATAACAACTTAACCCACTCAATAGTCTTAATGCAGTAATGCTAACTGAGTCGTGAGATATGCCTCCCCTCCCAACTAGACCTCAAGATCATTCGAGCCATAAAACCCAAAATGCCATGAACTAGGTATAGGAAGGAAAGCTCATCTGACTCCTGCTCAAGCACCTACTTAGATCTCTGTCTCATCTTTCGGCGCTTCCTCTTCAACCTCCTCATACGCTTCTTCTTCCACTGATACATAGCAACATTATGTTAGTCTGATACAAATGGGCAAAACAGAAATTTGTTGCAACAGCCATGGTAGGTGAAGTACATATATCTCAAGTGCAGAATGATAGGGAACAATTTTTTACAGTACATATGAAGCAATGTCTATAGGCCTTTACCCAACATAAACGCAGTACCCCCTTCAGGATTTATAACTCCTCTGCAGTCACAGAATCAACTTAAAATAGGTGATGATTTCACACAATTTAGAAGAGCTAAATTCCTTCCTCTATCACTCACAAAAATGACAAATCACTTTTCCGTGAAGTGAAAATGGAGAGTAGGAGACTATTAGTTTTACATGGTTTGGCTTAAAATGTTGTAGATGGAAGAAGAAAAAAAGGGCTAGAATTGGCGGATACTCCCCGCTACCTCCGGCTGGATAAATATCCAGCTCCATACATGTTTCCAAATCCGTGCATGCATCCGCAGATATTTACAAAAAATATTTAACAAGATATTTTAACCTTAAAAATTTTCTTTTTATCATATTTTTTTGACATCCTAGCTAGAATCCCTCCACATCTGTATTTATGGGGAAAAAAAGAAAGATCTACACATTACATGACTGTGTTCACAAAATTTGTTGACAAAACTATCAGTCTCCACTTCGTTAACAGGAATTACTGTATTACAGTATATACTATTATTTTCTTTCCCCTCCCTTTGCTAACTAAAATGATACCTTCTCTAACCCTCCCTTACCCTGCTTTGAAATTTGAAGCAAACATGTAAAACAATCGGGTGCTTTTGACAGCAAATGCATAAAACAAAATTCACTAGTTAATTCAGAGAATGGGATTCAAGAACCATTGCTTAACCTAAATGTGTTCCTCATGAAATTAACACAACTTCATCGGCCTCTTAACGACTCACTACACAAAATTCCTGTTATTTGAGCAATTAGACAAGCATTCCGAGGTTGTAACACAAGGGAACACAGGAAACAATACCCATGTATCGAAAAACACCAAGTCCAATCGAATCAAAATTCAAAACTAATCTAATCAGTTTCAAATGAGATACTTGACGCAATTCACTTTATATCCAACATGGCACTTGCGAAAACCAAAACCAACAAACAATATCCTCTTTTCAATTTCGAAAATCAAGCAGTGCATCGAATTCCTTCAAATCGTATACAACAACAACAAACTGCATATATCATATTAGTCCATTTACAAGGAATACATCAGCAATTTAGAAAGGAAAAAAAGAAAGTCCAAGCAAAATCAATATCGAACAAAAAAACACATCAAACATCAGATAATCGATTGAAACATCCTAATTCCTGTGAACAAAGACAAATTCATGATTATACTCGGATCCTAAAACGCTCAGTGCACGTAAATTATAAATAAAATAACCATTACATAGACATGAATAATGAAAGGAAATGCATTTAACCTTAGCTCTCATCCTGAACAACAGAAACTCTCACGCTTTTCTATCAACAATGTCGATTTTTTCCANTCGATATATAAATAAATATGAAATAGCAATACATCAATACATGTAAAGAAAGCTACTTCTTACTTTTAAAAATATAAACCAGAAAAAAAAATAAACCTGGTAATAAAATAAAAGCTAAAAATTATAGGTAAATTATGTTGCCTGGACAGCCAACTCTATTTTAACATCGCTATAAAATGATCATATTTCAGGAAACTCTTACGATATATAAGCTATTCGGATAAACCAAGAAGTATACAAAATCAGTACATAATTAGATACGATAAAACACTTATCATAACAACTTAACCCACTCAATAGTCTTAATGCAGTAATGCTAACTGAGTCGTGAGATATGCCTCCCCTCCCAGCTAGACCTCAAGATCATTCGAGCCATAAAAACCCAAAATGCCATGAACTAGGTATAGGAAGGAAAGCTCATCTGACTCCTGCTCAAGCACCTACTTAGATCTCTGTCTCATCTTTCGGCGCTTCCTCTTCAACCTCCTCATTCGCTTCTTCTTCCACTGATACATAGCAATATTATGTTAGTCTGATACAAATGGGCAAAACAGAAATTTGTTGCAACAGCCATTGTAGGTGAAGTACATATATCTCAAGTGCAGAATGATAGGGAACAATTTTTTACAGTACATATGAAGCAATGTCTATAGGCCTTTACCCAACATAAACGCAGTACCCCCTTCAGGATTTATAACTCCTCTGCAGTCACAGAATCAACTTAAAATAGGTGATGATTTCACACAATTTAGAAGAGCTAAATTCCTTCCTCTATCACTCACAAAAATGACAAATCACTTTTCCGTGAAGTGAAAATGGAGAGTAGGAGACTATTAGTTTTACATGGTTTGGCTTAAAATGTTGTAGATGGAAGAAGAAAAAAAGGGCTAGAATTGGCGGATACTCCCCGCTACCTCCGGCTGGATAAATATCCAGCTCCATACATGTTTCCAATCCGTGCATGCATCCGCAGATATTTACAAAAAATATTTAACAAGATATTTTAACCATAAAAATTTTCTTTTTATCATATTTTTTTGACATCCTAGCTAGAATCCCTCCACATCTGTATTTATGGGGAAAAAAAGAAAGATCTACACATTACATGACTGTGTTCACAAAATTTGTTGACAAAACTATCAGTCTCCTCTTCGTTAACAGGAATTACTGTATTACAGTATATACTATTATTTTCTTTCCCCTCCCTTTGCTAACTAAAATGATACCTTCTCTAACCCTCCCTTACCCTGCTTTGAAATTTGAAGCAAACATGTAAAACAATCGGGTGCTTTTGACAGCAAATGCATAAAACAAAATTCACTAGTTAATTCAGAGAATGGGATTCAAGAACCATTGCTTAACCTAAATGTGTTCCTCATGAAATTAACACAACTTCATCGGCCTCTTAACGACTCACTACACAAAATTCCTGTTATTTGAGCAATTAGACAAGCATTCCGAGGTTGTAACACAAGGGAACACAGGAAACAATACCCATGTATCGAAAAACACCAAGTCCAATCGAATCAAAATTCAAAACTAATCTAATCAATTTCAAATGAGATACTTGACGCAATTCACTTTATATCCAACATGGCACTTGCGAAAACCAAAACCAACAAACAATATCCTCTTTTCAATTTCGAAAATCAAACAGTGCATCGAATTCCTTCAAATCGTATACAACAACATCAAACTGCATATATCATATTAGTCCATTTACAAGGAATACATCAGCAATTCAGAAAGGAAAAAAAGAAAGTCCAAGCAAAATCAATATGAACAAAAAAACACATCAAACATCAGATAATCGATTGAAACATCCTAATTCCTGTGAACAAAGACAAATTCATGATTATACTCGGATCCTAAAACGCTCAGTGCACGTAAATTAAAAATAAAATAACCATTACATAGACATGAATAATGAAAGGAAATGCATTTAACCTTAGCTCTCATCCTGAACAACAGAAACTCTCACGCTTTTCTATCAACAATGTCGATTTTTTCCAGAAGATGATCCCTGAATGTAAACCTGTGGCGATAAAAACCCCTGTTTTGGTATTTATAGCGAAAAGCGCGAAACCCTAACTCTCTTTAGGCTAAGGTCGGGTTATGTGAGGGCATAATTGTAATAATAAAAATATATTCTACAAAGTGAAGAAAAGAAAAAGATATTGGATGAGATGAGTTGAGAATTTCCTCTCTCACTTTTTTCTTATGATAAAAATAACGTTTGGTGAAACCTACGGAAGTTAAAATAGAAAATCCTTTCACGAATAACAAAAAGTAAATAATTGTAACTCGTTTTTACTATTAGTATTACACAATTCATAAACAGAAAAGGATTACATTAAATGTTAAACAAATAATAAATTAAGAATAAATCATTCTTATGTCAAATAAAATAAGAAATAACAAAGAATGTCAAGAAGTACGGACAAAGTCGACAAGTATCAGTGTTGTCGAAAAGTATTAGAGAAGACTGAAAAGTATCAATGTAGAGAAATGTAGGCAAGATCAGAAATATCAATCTTGCCAAAAAGTGTCATGCAAGATCAAGAAGTACTAGTCTTATTTAAAAGTAAAAAAACAAGGACCAAAAGTTCTAGGTAAGGATAAAAACACCTCAAAATAATCATTCAATGCTTACATAACCATTCAAACGATATAAAACAAATAATCATTACTAAACAACTACTAGATTAAGATTAAGAAGGACATGATTCCATTTCCAAACCCATTTAAATAAAGATCCATTAATAATAATATAAATGACATATGAGAGTGTCCATACATATAAATCTTATAGAACGATTTTATCTTAACAAAGTCACTAGAATTCGAGAAATTTGTTGGTCAATCTGATGTGCTTATGACAAGTGCAAGGTTCCTAGTGAATTCACTTACCCCTAGTCTTTTGGAAAGACGAGTCTATTTATACATATAGAGTACGCATGAGATTAGTAGACCCACTACATGATAACGATATATTGTATGATAAAATGATTAAATTGATATGGATGAGCATGTGGAAATTATTAATTGAATAACCTTTGTGTATTAACATGATAATGTATGTATATGTTTTATCCATAGTTAGCTTACCCTTTCACTTTGTGGATGTGTGGTTTTCCACCTGCCATGACCATGTCTATATGCATGCAAGCATATGGTTCAATAGGTGCAATGAATGCTTCCCAGTAAATCTTGGTGACAGGTACTCTAATAGTATAGGCAAATTGTGTATACATGTTCATTCCTCAAACTCCTTTTAATGTAATTTGAACAAATTGATATGTTATCTTTGGAAGTTTAATGAATGAAGAATAACTATTTTTAAATGTATACTTAATTTCCTACATTTTTCATGACTTATAATTGATTTATAATTCACTAAGTTGGATTTCATTAGACTTGTTCGGTGGGATATGAACTCAATAAATAATGCAATTATTCATGCATTGTTATGCTTATAACTTATTTACAATACACTTCGTTGGACCTCGTTAGACTCGTTCGATAAGATATGAGCTCAATAGACAATGCAATTGTTCGTGCACCAATAGTGTGATGATTAGGGTGATGTGATATTGTCTCATAGGTATTCCAAAATGTGTCAACTTAGCCATTATACATAAATATGACAAGACCTACAACTTAATTTGTATTATAACCTTTTAGAATTTAGAATAAGATGAGAATATTTTCCAAAATAAAATGAGGTTATCTCTACTAAGATTCCTCTTGCATCTCGTGATCTTATTAAGAATTTTATAATTTTTTGTGACCATCATCCTTAAACTTATTTTGGTTGATAATACCTTCCTTTATTCATATTTTCCTATTTTAGTTGATTTCAATTCCTAATTTATTGTATCAATTCTATTTGAAACTGTATTATTAAAGAAATATAAATTAAAATGAATAATAACAATTTTTTATAAACTATTTTCTATACAAAATCAACTTATATAGTAGAAAATATGAATTAAAATGGACAATAATGTAAATTTTATTATAAAATATTTCCCATACAAAATCAACTTGTATCAAAGCACTTTGAGAAATGAAAGCAACAAAAGAAATCATAATCAAAATGCATTAGAGTGAATAGTGGTTCGAGTATATGAGAGATTTCTTTTGAGTGTATTAGCTTTAGTCGTAGTAAAAGAGAGTTTTTGATGTAAACAATGTTGTTTCAGTTTTTACGTAATTTTTAACAAATTGATGTTTAAATATACGAGGATTTTTATTGTTTTTACGATTTAGTAGTATAGTTTATTTACGTGGAATGGAGTTGGCCATACGCTATGTAGAGAAATTCGGGTATTACCTAAGATAAAAAATTAATTTTAGTATTACTTCTTGTGAAGTATAAATTTG